CCCAGCAAGAAGGCTCGCAAGCAGGTGCTGGCCCTGAATGAGATCCTGTGGAATGACCCTTTGCCTGTCAAGCAGAGGGACAAGCGAAAGTACCGTGGCAGGCGGAACTTCTTCAAGAACAAAAAACGCGGCGGCCACTGTTCCTTCTTCAACGAGGCCGGCCTGGTAAAGTTCCTCGAGGCGAACCATCTGCAGATGGTCGTTCGTGGCCACCAGTACAAGAACTGCAAGAGTACCGGCTTTATGGCCGAGTTCAGCGGCCGCCTGATGACCGTCTTCAGCAGCTCCAACTACTGCGGCTCGGAGAAGAACACCACCGGGTACATCGAGGTGACCGGTCCGGAGTGTCACGTCAAGCCGCACGTTCTCCGTCCCTACAGCGAGTCGGGCAAGTACCGGGAGTTCAACCTGCTCAAAATTATCACCGACAAGAAGACGAAGGAGGTCACTCATGTTGCCTTCTGAGCTCTTTTACTTTTGTTTCACACACACCCACACCTGCACCTTTAGTGCACTTTGTAATAGCAATTTTGGCGATCTATTTATGCACTCATTTTGTCCCTCACTCTTTTACGTGCAAATAAAGTTTTTTCTTTTACAAATGTTACTTTTTACAAATAACAACACTACTTTTCTAGTAGTGATAAAATGAAATAATTAAAAAGTTGTTGACTTGGCCAGTGAACACTCAGACGCACAGACACAGACATTACTGTCTAGTTGTTAGTGCGGCTAATCACTGACTTGTCCTGGTTCTTTGCTGGCGAGCACTTTGAGGAGCTCTTGGGCGCCTTTCGCCCGAAACTGCCGCCCTGCACCTTGCTCTTGGCACTCTGAACCGACTTGACGGCGCTGCTGATCTCAGCAGTGGTCTTGCCAGCAGATTTCACGCCGCCCCCGCCACCGCGGCTGCCTCTCTTCTTGCTTTTGCCCGACTTGGTGGAAGATTTCTTCTTTGATTTTTTAGATTTCTTCGACTTTGTCTTCTTTGACTTCTTTGACTTAGGCGCGGCGGCGCTTTTTTTGGGGCCGCTTTTGCCAACAGAGGAGGCAAAGGAGGTGTAGTTGAGGGAGGCGGCGNGGGCGCGGCGGCGCTTTTTTTGGGGCCGCTTTTGCCAACAGAGGAGGCAAAAGAGGTGTAGTTGAGGGAGGCGGCGGAGAAGGTGCCCTTTGCGGCGGCAGTAGTTGAGCTGCTGCTGCTGCTCGCTCCAGAAGAGGACAGCGCTGAGCTGGCCGGTTTGCTGCTCTTTAGCGCTGACTTGCCCTTTGACTTGGAGGACTTGCCCTTCAGCTTGCTCTTCATCTTCGACTTCTTCATCAGTGCTTTACTGCCCTTGCCCTTTCCAGCCATCTTTGATTTCTTCAGTTTTCCCAGCTTTAGCGGGCCCATCTTTCCCTTCTTCATCTTCATCTTGCCCAGTTTGCCGCCCATAGTCTTGGTCTTGGTTTTCAGTGCCTTACCCAGCGCAGGCGGTGGTGCAGGACCGGGAAACATGGGGCTCTCTTCACCCTCCTTCACAGTATCGCCATCCTCCTTGGCGCCCTCCTCTTCCTCCTTGGGGGCTCCTTCATCTTCTGGCTCCCCTTCTCCTTCTTTGCCCTCTCCATCTGCCTCGCCGTCCTTTCCCTCTTCCGCCTCTTTGGCCTCCTCTTCTTCCTCTTTCTCCTCCTCGCCATCAGGCGCGACGTTCAGTTCTTCGTCGCCATCAATGGCTTCTTTTTCGGCTATAAATTAGAGAGAAAGAGATGTGTGCATGTCAATGATGTCAATAAAGTGCCCTCACACATAGGCAGATTGGCCAAATCAGTTCACCCTTGAGTAGACTTACTGGAATTGGTGCAGCCCATCGCGGACTTGGCTGTTGTGCAGTATTTCAAGTGTTGACGCGTTTCTCTTGAGACAAAAGTGCTAAAGTTGACGTCAAAGTTAATGTCACAAGGAGGGAGAAAAAATTGGAATATGAAAGATGGACTAAAGACGTGAATGTGTCTTTTTTTACAATCATTATTGCTTGTTGAAAACAATTCCAACTTTTAGAACTGATCATTAAAAGAGAACAACAAAATTATAGCTTGAACCTGAATAATCTAAATTAATTGAGCAGTGTAATTGTGTAGAATGCTAAGTGTGCATCGACCCATCTATTGACAATTGGACCACCTTCTCTCCCTGCCAATCACTTCCGGTAATCTGTGTGATTCAGTAGTTTGTCATCTTGTTCCTCTTTTATCGTTCGTCAAATGGAGCCAGTATAAAAGCACTAAAACAATCGTTTCAGTGAAATCGACTCGTGACTAAAATATTCTGAAAACGCTCACAGTCATGCATTATAAAAATAGTGCCACTTCTTCACAATCGATTGATCTGAGGCAAATAGCAAAAAGCATTAAAAGCGACCACCGTCGTCTAATTAGCATATAAATATAAAAGTATGTCATTTTAGCATTAATATTCATTTTTAATGAGCTTGCTATGCTGAAAAGTGAACAAATTGCACAACAACCACCCAAAGAACTCGTCAACGCCAAGTGCCAAGAGAATGACTTATTTTGAAGAGAGCGCAGGGTGACACTTTTATCGTCATAAAAAGAAGCAATTTAAAGTGAAATTAAANTTTGTTATGGTGAAAAGTGAACAAATTGCACAACAACCACCCAAAGAACTCGTCAACGCCAAGTGCCAAGAGAATGACTTATTTTGAAGAGAGCGCAGGGTGACACTTTTATCGTCATAAAAAGAAGCAATTTAAAGTGAAATTAAAGTAATGGCATGAGATAGAAAGAGATATGATATCAAGAATACATTAAAANAAGAGCGCAGGGTGACACTTTTATCGTCATAAAAAGAAGCAATTTAAAGTGAAATTGAAGTAATGGCATGAGATAGAAAGAGATATGATATCAAGAATACATTAAAATACCCGAAATTATCGCCCATTGATTGTACTTGGCAATCGGCATTTATTAGTACACTTTTCAGCATGGCAAAACTGCTAAAACTATCAGATGGCATTTAATAATAACTTTATGCACTGTTTAACTGGAATGCTTAATTTTAATTACCATTGCTTGTCATGCACTTTTTCAGACGCACACGTGTTCGCCTAGAGTACATGCGGGCAAGAGTACATTGCGTGTGCTGAGCACTACTCAGCTCACACTACTAATGCAACTGACACGCCAAAACATGAATAACATGAGTGAATAAGGTGAATGAGTAACTCGATCAAAAAAAGCTCATTAATTATCAGCTGTCTGTTTCGACAGGCGATGCGCATCGTTGATGCAAAAGTGATGCTGGATTTATGAGCTGAATGCAGTGGATGCAGTCGGCACCTACCATAATGACCAAAACTGGGGGCAAAAAAGATAGTTTTTGGGGCACTAACAACAGCATTAGCAAAGGCAATCTTTGACTTTAATTTTGTGCATTAAAATCCGCTGGTAGCTTTATGGAGTCAACGCTTGAATCGGTCGTGATTCTTTGCGCTTCGCTAAATGGTGCATTCCACTCTATGCTTTCTGCACATTCTTTTTCTTTGATTGCGACCAAATTATCATCCAACTACTGTGTTTGGCTTTATACTGTCGTTTAGGCCGCTGGAAATTGGTGCCAACGCTGATGCAATTTTTGTTTGCCATCCTCAATTTTAGCTTACTGCCGTCATCATTTTTGCTGCCTTGATCAAAGTGCAATGGACCGTTGGTCCAAAGTAGACTTTGGTTGCTAATTTGTGGCACAGTGCCACCAAAAACCACTGCTCATTAGGGAGTTGCAAAGTTGCTTGGTCATAGTAGCATCATCATCATCTCCTTCGTCGTCGTCGTTCTGTTCACATTCAAATTGAAACAATTTGTGTGCTTCCACAAACACACAGGTCGGTGGTTGAGCTGAAGGTTGGTGCCCTCATGTGCTTACTCTCTGGTGGGGCCCCCTTGTCAACGTTCGCATTTTTGGCGCACAAACACTTTTTCCCTTTCATTCTCCGCCACAGACGCAAGCAGGCAGCGTTCTCCTGTTCTTCAATGCCGACTCGATTAATTGCCTTCATTCATAGGCCATTGAGGTTGGTTTTGTGTGACTGAAAGGGAGAAAAGCGATGAAGTGAAAGAAAAGGAAAAAAATCAAGGGAGGGTAAAAGCAAACAAACCAAAAAACCATAATTGCGCAGAGCGATTCAGTGGAAAGGAAATCTGGCACTGGCTCAAGTGCGGGAAACAGTTGACAAACTGTGTGCCAAATGGCAATAAAGAATGACTACATGTGGTTTGTTTGTGTGTGTAAATGTGTGACATCAGCAGATGTTTGTTGCGGTATGTGAGAGTGTGTTGACAAAGTGTACAATGTCAAGAGCAGCGAGAGTTGTAATTGTTGGGAATTTATTATCAAATTAGAAACCAGACTGTGAATTGACTATGCTGGAGCCAAGCTGTGAGGAATAAAAAAACTTGAAAAAGTGACTTTCAGACACGTTTTTCTCTTGTCTGTGTTTGTGCCTTGAACTTGCCAGTTTCTGCTTCAAATTATGGCCCAGACAGTCAGACGCTCTTGAAAACTCCTCAAGGCATTGAGAATGGCCAAACTCTGCTGCTGAAGTTGTTTTTGTAGCTGGAGATGGCGTTTTTTGCTTCAGTTCACTTATTAATTGGCCACATGACTAATGACTGCAAAACTTTGCCCTAAAATGAAGTAGATAGTAGAAAAGTACAGAGGAAGCAGCAAAAAAGGAAGTAGAAACAATGATTCTTTTGCTCATCTCACTACTGCTGCTCCAATGTCAGCTCATTAAGGCAGCTCACTGGTAAAACACACACCAAAATGGGCAGTTGATTGGCCACACACATACACGCACATAGCAGCTCACCAAACTTGGAGCAGACAGAAAAGAAAAGAAAAGAGGCGACAGTCTAGTGCTTTACCTTGCTCTCCCCTTCTTTCTGTGTAGTGTGCGGTAAATAACAAGATTGTCACACTTCATTCGATGACAATGGCCGAGAACACTGTTGTCTGTTGTCGCCGTCAACTAGCCAATTGGAGCCTTTTTCCACTGATCCGATTGTAACACACCGCCGGCGGGGGCTTACTCACTGAGAACAAGCAACAATAGTAGTGAGAAGCATCAGCCGGCAGAGGCTTTACACAGAAAAGAAGGTAGTACTCAGCTCAACCCGCACTTTGTCTTGAGCACTGGTCAGTTGCTAGCACAGTTGAGTGCCTTTCCTAAATTAAAAGGATGCGCTAATCAATAATCAGTAGCGGGTGGTGGAAAAAGCAAACAGTCCTTGACCCGTCAGTGTGACACTGCTGCTGCAATGATTTGTTGCAGCACTACTGGCAATTGGTCCATTTGGCGGTAGATTAATTACCAAGAAGGATGCACACTGGAGGGAGCTCAGGATGCTGTTCATCAACAGCACATGCATGCATGCATTCACGCGTCGTTAGAAGCGGAATAACTGGCAGTCAAAGAAACGATGCGCTATGGGCACTAATTCACTGGGCTGATTGATTGCAGTAGGTTGCGGAATAAAGTGCAAGCAATTCCCTGATTGTCCAATGAATACGTATGTTTATGACAATTTACCATTCGATACTGATGGTGTGTTGCTTACGGCAGTGCACTGGATGTGTGTGTGCTTTTCACTACATCTGCCTCCCTCCTACTGATCTACAGATCCCTTGGTGCACGCTTTTATTTGAAGAAGTGTTCCACTGGGGCGATTTGTGCTGCGGTTTGGTAGTANTTGCAGTAGGTGGCGGAATAAAGTGCAAGCAATTCCCTGATTGTCCAATGAATACGTATGTTTATGCCAATTTACCATTCGATACTGATGGTGTGTTGCTTACGGCAGTGCACTGGATGTGTGTGTGCTTTTCACTACATCTGCTTCCCTCCTACTGATCTACTGATCTCTTGGTGCACGCTTTTATTTGAAGAAGTGTTCCACTGGGGCGATTTGTGCTGCGGTTTGGTAGTAGTAGCTGCTGCCGCAGCCAAATTGTCCTGTGCTGATATNTGCTGCTGCAGCCAAATTGTCCTGTGCTGATATCAGAGCAGTGTGTCAGCGGTGTGTTGACTTTGCGCCTGAAGCAGCAGCAGTAACCAAATTGGCAGTGAGTGTCACCCAAAATGAGTCGCTAAGTCTCATCTCCCCTTTTTCTTTTCAGATGTCTTCTTCATTTGCTGCTGCTGCTTGTTGGTATCTTTTTGGCAGTAGTCAGCTTCTGGTTTCTCTGGTGCGCAAAGTCAATCGCCTCTTCTCTACCACCACCACGTTGATCTACTGAGCTACTGCTGCTGCTGCTGCTTTTAGTGCTGTTTGTGCTGAATTTGTCAGCGGCGTTGGCAGTTGCGTACAGACTCTCCTGGCGAACAGAAGCACAGCGGCACGGCACATTCGAATGCCGCCACTGTCGCTTCGGNCGCTGCTGCAGCCAAATTGTCCTGTGCTGATATCAGAGCAGTGTGTCAGCGGTGTGTTGACTTTGCGCCTGAAGCAGCAACAGTAACCAAATTGGCAGTGAGTGTCACCCAAAGTTAGTCACTAAGTCTCATCTTCCCTTTTTCTTTTCAGATGTCTTCTGCATTTGCTGCTGATGCTGGCTGGTATCTTTTTGACGGCGGTAGTCAGCTTCTGGTCTCTCTGGTGCGCAAAGTCAATCGCCTCCTCTACCACCACCACGTTGATCTGCTGAGCTACTGCTGCTGCTGCTGCTTTTAGTGCTGTTTGTGCTGAATTTGTCAGCGGCGTTGGCAGTTGCGTACAGACTCTCCTGGCGAACAGAAGCACAGCGGCACGGCACATTCGAATGCCGCCACTGTCGCTTCGGGTTCAAAGAAGAGCGC